TTCCTATTCTATCCAGGGGAACATACAGATTTAATGTAATCCCTATCAAAATTCCAATGCCATTTTTCACAGAAATAGAACGAACAAACCAAAACTTGTATGGGACCATGAAAGACCCTCAAGAGTGAAAGTAATCTTAAGAAAAAGCTCAAGGCATCACATTCCCTGATTTCAAATTATATTAGAAAGCTGTCGTAATCAAAACGATATGGTATTAGCATAAAAACAGACAAAAGGGTCAGTGGAAAGAATAAGGAGCCCAGAAATAAACCCATGCTTATGTAGTCAATTAATTCATGACAAAGAAGCCATGAATATAAAATGGGGGAAGGCCAGTCTCTTCAATAAATAATGTTGGGAAAACTGGACAGCCACATGCAAAAGAATAAAAAGGGACCACTATCTTACATCATATACAAAAAATAAACTCAAAACGGATTAGACTTAAACGTAAGACCTGAAACCATAAAACTCCTGAAGAAAACATAGGCAGTAAGCTCCCTGACAGTGGTCTTGGTGATGATTTTTTTAAATCTGAAAACAAAGCATTAGTTGGGACATCAAACTAAAAAGCTGTACAGCGAAGGATAGCATCACCAAAATGAAAAGACAACCTACTGAATGGGAGAAAACAATTTTGCAGAAGCACAAAAGACCCCGCATAGCCAAAGCAATTTTGATAAAGAACAAAGCTGGATACATCACAATCTCTGATTTCAAAATATATTACAGAGCTATGGTAATTAAAACAGTATCATATTGGCATAAAAACAGACACATAAATCAATAGAACACATTAGAGAGCTCAGAAATAAATCCATACATACATGGTCATTAATTGATGGGGAAAATGCAGTCTCTTCAATAAATGGTGTAAGGAAAATGGACATCCACAAGCAAAGGAATAAAACTGGACCACTATCTTACACTATACAAAAAAAATTAACTCAAAAAGGATTAGAGATTTGAACATAAGACCCGAAACCATAAAACTCCTAGAAGAAAACATAGGCAGTAAGCTCCTTGACATAGGTCTTGGTGCTGATTTTTGAATCTGATACCAAAAGCATGAGTTGGGACATCAGTCTAAAAAGCTGTACAGCAAAGGATAGCATCACCAAAATGAAAAAACAGCCTACTGAATGGGAGAAAACAATTGCAAATCTTATATCTGATAAGGGACTAATATCCAAAATATACAAAGAATTTGTACAACTCAATAGCAAAAAAAAAAATCCAATGAAGAAATGGGTAGAAGACCTTTTTCTTTTCTTTTTTTTTTTAGAGTTTATATTTTAAGTAAACTCTACACCCAACATGGGGCTCAAACTTAGAATCCTGAGATCAAGAGTCACATGTTCTACCAACTGAGCCAACTAGGTACCCTTGAATAGACCTTTTCAAGAGAAGACTCATGGATGACCAACAGGTACATGAAAAGATGGTAAATGTCAATAATCATCAGGGAAATGCAAATCAAAACTACCATAAGATGATGACCTTGTGCCTGTTAGAATGGCTATTATCAAAGAGACAAGAAATAATAAGTGTTGATGAGGTTGTGGAGAAAAGGGACTCTCTTGCATGTTGGTCACAATATAAATTGGTACAGCCATTGTGGAAAATGGTATGGAGATTCCTCAGAAAATTAAGAATAGAGCTACAATAGACCCAGCAATTCCACTTCTGGGTATTTATCCAAAGACAAATAAAGCACTGATTTATAATTTAAACAGCTATAAACATTTCCATTTTTATTGTGGCATTATTTACAATAGCCAAGATAGGGAAGCAACCTAAGTGTCCATTGATGGATGAATGGATAAAGAAATTTTGGTGTGTATGCATACATATGTATATTATATATGTATATATGTAGATATTATATATCTATAATGTAATTATTCAGCTATAAAATAGAATGAAATCTTGTCATTTGCTGAACATGGATGGACCTTGAGGTCATTATGCTAAATTAAATAAAGAAAAATCCCGTATGAGGTCTTCTATATATGAAATATAAAACAAAACAAAACCTATAGATACAGAGAACAGATTGGTGGTTGCCAGAGGTGGGTATGGTGGGGAGGGAAATTGATGAAATGTTTTCTTTTTCTGTTTAAATAAATTGGATTTAAATTTTGGAATTCTGAAATAAAAAGAAATTGGATTTCTTGGTATTTGCTGTTCTATTGTCCTTGCACTTCTTAACTAAAAGAAAATCTTGATATAATACGGTTCTCCAAGATGAAATAGAATTATCTTTGCCTTCTGTTGCAGTGGGCTTTTTTCTTGGCTTTATACCTGAAGTCCAAACAGACTTTTGGGCTCTAATAACCCTTGTTGGAGTAATTGCCGTATCATTACTTTATGGAATAGTTTTTAGTTCTCTTTTCCTTGCTCCAGGGCTTAAAAAAATTTATAGACTTTTTTTTTTTTAAAACAGCTTTATATTTACAGAAAGACTTAATCTTAAAACCACATTTTGCTGCAAAGGAGTCTGGGATATATAGTTTTTCACCTGGACAATAATGGGCCCAGTAAAACAAAAAACAGAAAGCAAAACGAAGTAAAAACCAAAAATGAAGCAAGATGAAACCCTCCCCCCACCGCTCAGGATTCTGTTGTTAAGAGAAAGAATATTCTGAGGCAGTTATGGTCTCTGCCACAATCATTCACAGTAATGCGGCCCAAAGGAGCATCCTGGATTCCCTTTACCTCTTGATAAGTGATTTTGCCAATTCTCAAACCTCCTGTCATCACCGTCTTAACTTGTTTAATGCCTCCTCCTGCTTCCCCTCTCCAGAATTAGTGGGAAAAGTCCTGAAATTAGAGATGGACCAGATGATGTCCTCTAATTGCTAGTGAACTCCAAATGAATTTGTAGTTTTAAAATTGTGGACTGTCACCTTCCGTAATCCATTTCTTACAGTGGTTGTTTTGAAATGGTTCACATTGTACTCTTAATTCCATATTCTCACTTTGGTTTTGTTTACTTACAAATAAATCAGCCATACTCCACCTCTGCCTCGGTGCTGTGTGTCTCTATATGTCTTCATGTACCTCCATCTCAATTGATTTTCATCCATAGGATGTAAGTCTGAGGAGGGCCGCAAGCTCAGCGGTGCCTGAACAGGAGTATTTTGTGCTCTATAAATGCCTGCTAAATGAATGAATGAATCCCAGCCTTTCTTCCTCTTCTCTTCAGAATATAAGATTGTTTCTATATTTAAAGAATCTTCTCTTGACTTAGCTGCCATTTTCCCTTCATTTCTCACAGTTCACTTTTTATTTTTTAACAAGCGGCATTCTCCTCCTGGTTTACTAACTCCTTGTTCTCTTCTCTGTCTTGAGGCTCCCTCTGTGACTTTTCAGATTTTGCTTTGAGATTTCCCCCCCTCAATGGCCTTTTCTGGTTGTTCAGTCTCTATGACCTCTCTAGAGCACGCTGTGTTATTGACAGAGCGTTCTGGGAAATACCCTCTTCCTTCTTGTGCCTTTCTTGTTTTTCCTTCTGCATTTCCTTTGTTGATGTCCTTCAGCTCTGTAGTGGTGAGCCAAACAGTATGATATTGCTTTCCTCCTTTATTCTTTTGTGTCTGCCCCTTCTTTGCAATATCTCAGCTGCTAGGCTGCTCTTTGACCTTGGCTATTATTTCTGTATGCATGATTACTAAATAGATACAAATTGCTTTTAGTACTCATTTCTACATCCCTTTTAAATACTTCCTGGGTGCCTCAACTTAAACTCCTCTATTTAAACAGTATGTCTGAAATCTGGGATGCTGGTCCCTGTCTTGGTTTCCTGTCATTAGGGCATTGCTTCTGAAACTGCATGCTGGTAACCCTAATGGTGAAGGATAGCAATTTCCTGTGTGGTGTTTTCCTTGTCTGGACTGCCCCTTCCTTTATTCTTTCCACCTTCTTTTTTTTCCTTTTAAGATCAAGTTCAGAAATCTGCATTTCACGAAGATTTCTAGGGTGGCATGAGACCTTACTGACTCTCTGGGCTTTGAACTCCTGCCACACTCATCTGTGTATTACCTGGTCCTCTTCATGTACTTGTGTTGTGTTGTGTTGTAGAATAAATCCTCTTTATTATAACTGTTTCATCTTACAGATACTCTGTAATCTTATTCCTCTTTGTACTCTCAGTGCCTGCGATGTAATCAGCACTTAAGATGTGTGCTGTGGATGATGGCATCCCCTTTTCATTTCCTTATCTTGTTCCATTTCTAACACTGAGATTGCTTAAAAAATTAATTTTTCTTATCACCAAACAAATATTTCTCTTCCATAAATGAAATGGAGTGCTTGGACTGAGCTGAATGACACGTTTTCAACAGCCTGATTGCATTTTGCTTTGCACTATTTTTAGTACATTATAAAGGGCTTACAATGACTGTTGGAGGAGTAACTTTTCTCTGTCTTTTGAGTGTCTTCATCTTTTGAGTGCCATCTAAAAACTTTGAGTAAAAGAGTCATGAAAAGAGCTAGTGGGATTCTGTGCATACCAAAGTTTGTATGGGGAGGAAAGAGATACGGAGTAGGAGAGAGAAAATGAATAAATGAGAATGAGTGTGAAAACATGTGCCCTCCAGGCCCCACTACTTGCTAAATAATGTCAGGATGATGTTGGACCAGCCAGATGGAAGACTAGTTGTGTCAAAGGGGTGGATATCTCATAAGGATGAGAATTCATTTTAAGAACATTTTTGCTCCTCATCCCCTACAAAAAGAAACTTACCCAATTGTTTTTATGATAAATTGTTTTTGTAATCAATTCCTCAGCAATATAGTAATTTGGACAGACATATTGGATGAAGTAGATCAGTTAAAGTATGTTGTCCTTTAAAATTAAAGTATGAGAAATTAGTTGTAGTTGAAATTTAGCTCTGTGGAGATTGAAAATCTGGATTAGTGGAGTGTGATTCCAGACTCAAATGAGGGGAACAGAGGACTCTGTTCACCTACTTACTTTACTTCTTTTATTTCCATAGGGAAGTTGAAATACTGCCTTGTGGTTCTGAATCAGCCTCTGGACAAATGTGTTCGTCATCTTTGGAGCAAAGGTAATCTTAATTAGCATTTATATTTCTTTACTTTCTTAATCTATTTAGGACTAATATGACTATTAAATATTCCAGAATATAACTACAATACCAAGAAGTGGAACTTATAATGAAGTGATATAATTATTGAATTATCAGAAGAATGGATCTGCTCTGTTAAGTAGTTTCTATGGGTGGTTTCCACAGGATGGATCCCCCAAGGACAGAATTACAATGTAGCATCACTATGCGTTATTTCATCTATCAGCTATGGGGATGTTAATCCTGAGTACTCACTAAGTGTTTGTTGAAGTGTAAATAGTTTTGGCACCAGCAACAATAAAAAGCATCCTCAAGCCTCACTCATCCTAGTATCCAGCAGTAAGATATCTGCAGGGTGACCAGATTTACAAAAAAAAAAAAAAAAAAAGACTAACAGTATATTAGAATCTCAAGGGATGCTGAAAAATGTAAACATGCAGTAGTTTTGCAGAATTAATACTTTCGTGAGTTTTCCTGTAAGAAACAGACTTTAATTAAACTTTTTTACATTATTCTTTGATTTTTATACCGTTAGCTCTAGGCAAGAAAATAGTATTAAATATCATTTACTGTTTTGAACCTCTGCTCTTCCATGAAATCTTGAGCTTTTTTCAAAGGGATACTTCTTTTAAGGTTAGCAATGTAAGTTTTAAGCCAAATTAGATAGGCAGAAGAATGTGATTCTTGATATATTGATGCATATTCCAGATGATTCTCTCTTATTGCACAATTCTTTTGTATCCTCAGCATCAAGGCTATATGTCTTAGAATGCAAATCTGTTATGTCAGTAAGCTCACATCTGTGGACAGAGGTAGTTGTGATACTAGGGGGAATAGATCATTATGGATGATTTTGTATAATGAATTTTTCTTGTCCTATGGGTGATTACCATAAAAACACTTTATTCTAAATTTAGCTATCTTTATGTTAGCCAACTGAAAATGTCACGTTATTATTGCACTGAAAGTTGGAAAGCTATTTAACCAGTAACTTCTAGAACTTCTCACTTGCTTGTAATTAGGTGGTTATTCAGGTGCCATCAGAAAGGTCATTTTGTTGTCACGTCAGTGCCTAGTGCTGTGTCTAGCACATAATTGCTTAGAAATTACAACCAGTGAAAGTGAATTTAATATGATTCACATTCCTAAAAAACACCAAAATAAACTGATTGATTAGGCACATCCTTTTTATCTGAACTTATTACCAGGTTTTATTATATTTTTAGGATAGTGTGTGAACAGCTGTGTTTTACTGCACATCTTAAAAATAGACAAAATAATCATTGATGGGAACGACTGGAAACCTTGGGTAGGGAAAACTACATCTAGGAAGTCTCATTTTCGAGGGTGAAGGATCCCATTTTGTCCATAGTGTGAAACAATGTAGATTTTTGAGCTGACTGAAGTTTCTGATTGCATTTGTTTCCTGCAGTGAATTGGATTTGAAAAAGTTTCATACCGGACATACACCAACTATTTATTTGATTTGCATAAAAAAATGAACAGTAGGCCAGTCTGTATACATAGAACTAAAAATATTTAAATGTGACATGGACTGCAATGGTTAGATAAATCTCGTTTCCAAAATAACTTTTCTTTAGGTTATTGAAATGTACTTTCATATATACGTCCAGGATAATTCTTGGCTCTCTGGAGCCATTAACCATTATAAAAAGTGGATCTGTTCGTAAGTACTGAGGAAGGGTAGAATAGGAGTTTTGTGATTCTCACAATAGAAGCTGTGATTTTTTTTTTTGTTTGTATTGTCCTGTTTTGTGTTGTTCTTCTTCCAAATAAAACTTAAAAAAAAAAAAAAAAGAAGAAGAAGAAGGTATTGGGCAACTGAATGGCTCAGTCGGTTAAGTGTCCAACTTTTGGTTTAGGCTCAGGTCATGATCTCAGGGTTGTGAGATTGAGCCCTGGGCGGAGCTCCACACTCCTCGGGAAGTCGGCTTGAGAGTCTCTCTCCGTCTCCCTCCGCCTCTCCCCTCATGTGTATGCATGCACCCTGTCTCTCTAAAATAAACCTTTAAAAAAAAAAACAAAACTGGATATTAAGGAGGGCACTTGTTATGATGAGCACTGGGTGTTGTATGAATCACTGAATTCTACTCCTGAAACCGATATTGCACCGTAGAATTTAAATAAAAATTTGAAAAGAGAAAACAAAAACTACCCAACAAATAAAAGTAAAAAAAGAAATATAGGGAGACTTTGAGCTTGAGTTGCCGATGTTAACAAAAGAGAGAGGCCTAGAAAAAACTGTAGGGCAGCGTGGAGGGCCTGGGACGGAAGACAGGGTTGCAGCTTGGGATTTCAGCAAGTAAGTGCCGGAAGCAGCCTTGCTGGCTACTCTTTGTCCTGTATATGTGTCATTTTTTGTAAGTTTCTGTAACAAGTCTGAAGATTTGTGAAGAACGGAAAACAAGGGGTGAAATCCAGACTATTATATCAAAACAAAGACAAAATTTGGAGTCTGCTGCACAGTGTCAGTGTTTTATATAATATCAATCATTTAACTTCAATCTATGCTAAGGACTTCTGGCAAGTAGGGATTTCCTGAGATTCCCTTAAGGGGAAAGACTATTTTGAAGGTTTATTTATTAGTTTTGCCCTGCAACGTTTATATGACATATTATGCAATTTATTTTAAATGACTAAAGAAGGGATTCAAGGGAGATTAAAAGAGAAGTTTTTAAATGTATTTTCTCTTTAATACTTCATGAAGTTTCAGTGATTTTCTTGGTACTTTTATTTTTTTTAAGATTTTTAAAAATTTATTTATTTGACAGATAGCACAAGTAGGCAGAGCAGCAGGCAGAGGGAAAGGGAGAAGCAGGCTCTCTGCTGAGCAGGGAGCCCGATGTGGGGCTTTCTTGGTCCTTTTTTTTTTTTTTTAAGATTTTATTTATTTATTCATGAGAGACAGAGAGAGAGAGAGAGGCAGAGGGAGAAGCAGGCTCCCAAGGAGCAGAGAGCCTGATGTGGGACTCGATCCCAGGACCCTGGGATCATGACCTGAGCCGAAGGCAGATGCTTAACCATCTGAGCCACCCAGGCGCCCTTTCTTGGTCCTTTTAATCCCTACCTGTCCCAGCAGTTTGTATACTCGATTTAATCTGGAGATATAAAATAATTACAGAGGTAGGTAGATAGATGAAAAGCCAGAACTCTAGCTAGTATCTAACTTTTCTGTAACTGTCAGAGGTTACTGGCATTTGTAAATGGATATTGCCTTTAGATTTCTTAACTATTTTTTTTTTTTTTTTGAATCAGACTTTCTCTTTCAGTAAATGTCTTTCTCATCCTGAAATATGTGATAAGTGAAGAAAAATAGGGAAGTCTGTGTTTGAAGAATTCTGCTTATTTCTTTTGTAGATCACTTATTCTCCACTTGGGGTCACCATGCTTACCAGGATCTCCAAAGGTAGTAGGAGAGATCTGAGTTACATAAAAAAATAAAAATAAATAAAAAATAAAATCTGACATTCACTTACCTGGGGTGAGATTTTAGATGGACCATATATCAGGTTTCTAGGAGTTTGACTTATTAAAGTGTATCTTCATTTTTAATGTGAGTTCACGGCTTTTCTCTGTCTTTTCCATTTGATCCGTAGAACATGGTGACCATGCAAATTAGATTATGAATAGATTATCAGATTACAGTGATGCCAGGTGCTTATCTCCAGTGTGACACTCTTTTCCTCTAAAAGGAGTTTTCTTCACTTGATTTCTTTCTTTTTCAGTTCTCTGGTAAAAAACCTTCAGATCATGCCAGGGTGTGGGCACCATACTCTGGTTCATTGCCAATAAGGCTTTAAGACATAAAACATCTGACAAATCGGGCAGGTCTTTGAGGTTAAAAGGACACCCATGCAGCATACGTGAATCAAAATAGAAACAAGGTCTTTGAATTTATAACATCAGTGTTTTCCCTTCTGGTTCATTGGTAATTAATGCTTTCTGAGGCCATTTTAGGTCAGGCATTGGGTCCAAAGCTGGGGATGTAATGGTCAGCTCTTAGTTGTGGCTGCAGTTAAGTTAGGGGAGCACAGACGTAGATGCTTCCTCACAAAGGCAGGTCAGAGGCCTGGGAGCCACAGGTCCTTAAAATGAATTTGCTCATCCATGTTTGTTTGTTTGTTTATTTTGCGAGAGAGAGAGCGTGTGCACGAGAGGGAGGAGGGTTAGAGGGAGCAGCAGATTCCCAGCTGAGCAGGGAGCTGGACTTGGGACTAGATCCCCGGTCTCCAGGATCATGACCTGAGCCAAAGGCAGTCGCTTAACCAACTGAGCCACCAGGCGCTCTCATCCATGTTTCTTAAGTAGCTGAAATTACCATAGTATTTGATTGACTATACTTTGGTCATGCCTGTATGCCTTTTACTTCCTTTTTTAAATAAAAACACCTTACATAAATCAGTTTTGAATAGATTCCTGACTTGCTCTTCTAATGAACTGATCTTGTGCTAGTAATTAGTACTGCCATCACATTTAACTTTTAAATGATGTAGGAATCTGCTGTAAGGCACCTTGCTTCGAAAGTAGTTTTGTTGTATCAACCCTTTCCTTTATAAATTGTGTACTCCAGGACTCGGTAAGCTTCTTTTTACCTGGTTATTTGAGGTTAAGCTCAGCCAAAGTTAGCATATTTATATAAGATTCTTTTTTTTCTCTTTCTATTCCCATTTTTTTTTTTTTTCAGTGGGACCTCTACCTCATTTCTGGTATCTGGTGTGATTATTCTCCTTAAAATAAGAGAAATTGAATACATGCCATTTTTAGGGTGTAGATTGGTTGAATTGATTGGTTTGCTTTAGTATAACTTGGTATCACTGTTTTAATCTTATTACATCTGTTTGTATATTTTATCCCCGTTAGAGGGATTTCTGGGAAAACATGTTTTTTGATAATCATCTTAAAATTTTGAAATCACCTTAATGCTACTCTTGACAGCTGACTCTGGAAGGGCTAGTCCT